GTGAAACAGGAACAAACCAACACTCGTACAACCATACTCACAAACTTTCGCGTTTATAATTTGTAAGGTGATCTGCCGATATCAACGGTGTTACAAACGTGTTGGTCAACAATAGACTGTTCATACCTAGGCTGCCTTTTAAGACGTGTCGATTGCCAACCTCCCGCGATTATTAAAAAAAAGCATATGGCATTATCATCTTTTTGTATTTAGAATACGAAAACAAAAGAATGCTTTCAGATTGTTCGAATAGTTTTATTGTATCGTCTATTCAAAGGTGACAAGTCAGTTGTACAAAAGGGAATCTCTAAGGAAAACGTATATCTCACTTTCTTAATAATATTACTGTACACTTCTATGTTACATAAATATATGTAACAAGTATTTTTTTCAATGAAATGACAAATAAACTGTCTGCCTACCGGATAGTGAACGGTAATCATCATCATTAAACATGAACTACGAGCATCAATTTATCACATGACACTCATGCGTTGCCATTCCAGAGAAAGATGTTATCCTGTAATGTTATAATTATTTGCTATTATTACATTGTATAAAACAAAGTCGCTGTCGCTGTCGCTGTCTGTCCGTCCCTATATATGCTTAAATCTTTAAAACTATGCAACGGATTTTGAAGCGGTTTTTTTTAATAGATAGAGTGATTCAAGAGGAAGGTTTATATATATAATACATGTTCACCCGGGCGAAGCCGGGGTGAGTAGATAGTATTATATAAATAAAATTAATATTACATATAAGATATCGTAAGTCAATTTCAAGTCTTTACAATTTAACTTTGTCGTAACTATATTATATGAGTTAGCCAGTATGAGAATGGACAAGTTTTCTAATATAATGAGATGAAACTTTAACGATAGTTTCTACCTTTCACTATTTAATAGTATTGCTTTGTTTCTGTCATTAAATTCTAAAATGCTTTAAAAATTGAAGAAACTAATAATTGAAATCTATTTATAATTACTATACTCTAGTATGTGGTGGACACGATTTGATTTTGCGTTTTCTTTGTCACTAGTATTCTTTATTTCTCTAGGTGTCGCCATCTTGGAAAAAGAAGTATTAAATAACGGTATTGTTACTTCATGATTATAGGAATGGCGTACAGATATTATTGTGCCATAACAATGCACATTACATCAAAGTGTATTTTATTTAACTGTTTGTGATCTTTAATAGAACACGCTTAAGTACCAACATTTTTAGATTTTCTTCGTCTAATCTTTTAAAATACAGAGGGAGAAAATTCTTACACATTTGCAGACAGTCCTGTGGACATTTTACTGGTTTTTTTTAAAGTGAAATACGCTACATACTTGACGAGTGCTGCACTGCGCTCCCATTCAATTTCTCTGCGAAAATAAATTTCCGCGTCGAAATATTGTGCCGCAAATTGTAAGCCGGCAAGCATTTGCAGGAAACGGTTTATTGAATGTGGAATTTGCGTTCATTTATCTACTGTATGGTGCTATCAAAGATAGCCACCGTCGATGTCGCTTTTGTGCTTTATTCATTGCGCTTTGATCCTATGTGTTAGCTTAGCGCCCGTATCGATTGGGCGCATATTTGTACGATCATATAACACTGTCCTATGTTGGGCGCCACTAGTCGTAATGGCGCCCAACATGGAACAGGTACTATATTATTATAATCCAACTTTTGCGGCCATAATCTCACTAATTAGTCGTCCAAATAGCCATAATGCATTTCGCAAATTTAATTTTGAACCTACAAATATTTTATCAGAAATTATTAACAACTTTTGAATTGTATTTGAGGATTAACGTCGGTATGTGGGAGTGTGCCGGGTGGAGTTCGATTGGCCGCCATTTAACATGTATTGCAGGAAATTGGCGCGAATACGCCGCCACCATTCCGAGCCTATGGCTGGCAGGCGTTTGTGCTGTAATTACTCTCTGTACATTCGCCGGTTCAATCGACGTAGACTTATATTAAGCTATACAAACGTATACAAAATGGAACGTGCTATTGAATTTCTGAGTATTTTGTTACGAACTGTTTGAATATTAGGGGAATACGGCGTTATTATTATTATAAGGGCTTTAGTCGTTTAATATAGGTTGCGATAAAATATACTTCGTGCCTCTGAAAATACACTTCGTTATAATGTTTGTGTTTAAACTCCTAAATTCGCCACTTCTTGTAAAGTATATATATAATACTGCTAACACTACTTGTATAGAAAATTTCACGATTGATTGATGATTAAAACTAATTTTCACATTTAATGGGTAATAAATATTTTTATGACCAATTGCCAATGTCTAAATCAGTATACAATACTACATTTCTTATTATTTTCATTCAACTAGTAGTCGTTATCTGAATATTGTATATTTCATACACTGAAATCTATCTTGCTGTTACAATAGGTATCAAATATGTTTATTCAAAGTATTCACTTACCAAATACCATCAACGAGATTATTTTCAGGAGAGCCTTCCATTTGCTCTCATCAAATATTCGACATTTTTCATCGAAACCAACAAACGTAACTATTTTAGAATGGTACTAACGTATACAATTCATGTACATTAAGTTCTTACAAACATAGCTGTTATTATTGGAAATTAATGTTCTATTGCGGTTGAAATACATTCGAATTCTTTATTTATGAAGTATAGGTAACAAAGATCTTAGGCTGAACAACATGTTTCACTGTCTTTTGCAATTGCGCGTACAAATATGTGATCTAATGAGATTGTTGTTACAATATCAAATAATTATTGTTCGTCGTCCAAAAATTCATCTAAACTATAATAGATATTTTCTAATAAATATTCAATAAAAGCCAATTTTATTTTAATTGTCTTATGTCATCTTTAGACTCTTAGTTATTTTATTGTTAGGTACTTTGTTGTTAATATTTTTTTTAGTAGTCGAAAAAATTACATAATAATCCAATATATGTAGTTAGGAAATACAATCTACAATACAAAATCTACTAAAATTGACTGTATCAATATTACATACTTAGACCACCACATTACCACTTTTTTAATGAGATGAAGAATGAAACCTGTTACTGCTCGATTTCTACAAACAGATCACGATTTAGTTAGTTTTGAGATATAACAGGGTTACGACTACGTATTCTTTTCGAAATTTTTACCCAACCGTACCCTAAAAATGGTAACCACCACTGAATAAGGCGTCAAGGCGTTAAGTATTTGAGATTTAGATGTTTCAGAACTGTTTTCACCTTCGTCCTTGATATACCTATTATGTATTCTTTATTTTATTACCATGAGTAATAAAATAAAGAATATATACCTTACTTTTTTCTTCCTCAATTTCTGCCGTCTTGCAACTTTTAGCTTTATTTCATTCGAAAGGTAAGATGAGGTAGTGAAATTACAGGACAATACATTTATAATTGTCTGAAATGATAACGCGTGTATGTATTTCAAGATATATATTAAGTTGTTCAGGTAAATAAACGATGGATAACGTTAACGAAATTACAGTTACATAAAATAATATAATGAATGTTGAATAATAAATATTTGTGCAATTCTTAAATGGAAGCACAGAGTAGAAATCCCTATGCAATTGTAACGCTGCTTCTCTGCAAAAATCGGATTGTACTAATCTTCGACGCAGCGCATGAAAAAATAAACGAATGGTCTCGCTCTGAGGATTAGCGTCGTCTCTACCACGTGGCTATACTTATCTGTCTAGAAATTCTAGGGTTGCATTTAAACTGAACGTAAATGTGAATTGAGGTATCGTTTTTTTTAAAACCTCATGCGAATATAGAGTTGTTATAAACAAGACCGTGGCATCCTCTATGATGTATTCATTTCGTGATGGAGATTATTCTTAGTTTAAATTTATGAAGATCTATTCAGACGTTTTAAATTCATCTGGTTTTTTGTTATGTTTTACGCTTTTAAGCTTTCGGAGATTTTTTTGCCATTAATATTAATTAATTTGTTTAATGGCTGATAATGGATATACTTACCTGCGCTCACGGTATACTCTGACAAGACTCTAGTGGATCATGAGAATGAAGCCAGGGCAATTAGCCCATCGAGACCAATTTACCAGGTTCTTTTCAGAGGATCATGACACACGGTCAATTATTAATAATTTGTTTACTCCTCACGAAATATCCCTGAAATATGTATCATTAAAAACGTATAATGAATATAGTGCTATACCTCTTAAAACCAGTCATTTTGATGACGCTCTGGCCTGTAATCATTTTGCAGCCGATAATCTATCGTTACAAAGGAAATTAAATTTCGTTAATGTGACAAGCCATTATGGAAGCGACCCCTAAAACCTTCTATTGAAGGTCGATTCCGCAGAACAGTCGCTCGCATAGTTTGCGACGGCTTCGCCTTTTGTGAACGTATTAAAGGGGTGGTTTAATTTCGGGTCAACATAATTGTTGGTGGCTTTAAATACCGAATAGTTGGTTCAAATGTTTGGAACAAGTTGGTAGCTACGAAAGTCAATATGTTGATAGGTTAAAGTAATTTTGTAATGTAATGTTATTGTATTACATACGTGTGCTTTATGTATCACTGACATATTTATTTACACGTCCACTCTCGCCCGTGTCTAGTAGCGAAGTGGTCTTACAGATTTTTTTCCGCCTATTTTTTATTATTCTTTTATTGAGGGCTTTGGATTATTGCCAGGTGCTAAGACCTGTAGCACTAGGACCTGCATAGATCTATTACCAAATCCCTAGGCTTAGACCCGTCAGGGACAAAAATTGAAAAATATTGTTTGTTACTCTTTCACGCAAGAGCTACTGAACGGATTTTGATGAAACTCACAGTAATATAGGTTATACACATCAGATACATTATACATCAGAATAACACATAGGTTATAATTTAAAAAGATTGTACGTAAATTGAGTGAAATATAATGATAAATGTCAAGTAAGTGTGACGATGAAATTGCGGGTCAGCTAGTACATGATACTTTTCTCCGTTTACAGATGAGGTGGACGTCATTGGATACACGTCGAACCAGAGCGACAGCGAGTCGCTGGTGTCTGGTCACAGCGGCGACAGCGGCGTGGGCGTGGTGCGAGCGCGACGAGGCCGGGCCGCCTCCCCATCGTCTTCGCCCGTGGCCGCTCCGCTCCACTACACCAGCGCGCGCCCGCGCCGGTCGGCACGCTCCACGAGGGTTTAGGTATGTAGCTATTCCTCAATACATAGGATGTACCATGTCAGGTTAACCTAGACACGCTTTCCCCTCTATAAATTCTTGATGAATTTGTCACGATGGGCTGTAAAGGCCAGCTGCGGCCAACAGCATTAGAATAGTTCGAAAAAAAAAACTACTAGTGTCTGCGACTTCATGCTCGAGTCTATTTGGCTTGTCACTTATTGATGGTAAATGAAAGGACATAAAATATACCTACATATAATTAACTTTTTCCCCATTTTCAAACGGGTATGGAATATTACTACCCATATTTAACAACATATTCTTCTCTCAGACTGAAGTCGTATCCATGGTCAGGCGGGAGTTGAAAATGCTCTGTAACCATCTGCACTCGCTTTTAAATTAAGTTGGAACTTAATTTAAAAGAAATGCGGCCAACAGCCCAGAATAGTTCCCATCGCATCACATGCTCGAGTGTATTCCGCTTGTCACTTATTTTTCGATAAATAAATAAATTTTCATTGACTTTTTCTCATTTGTTACTCCTAGTATTAATATCTTCAAGTTCCTGAATATTTGTGTCTATAAGTTTAGTCAATTTACTTAATACTGGCTAACATGTCGCTGTTACTGATTTGCAGGTGGGCAGTAGCGGCGCGGGACGCGAGGGGCGCGGAGCGGGCGCGGGGTGCGCCGACGCTCATCGGCGTTGTAACTTCGTAACGTAAAAACGTAGAACATTTTGTTGATACATGTACTAAGGCGAATGTTGTTTCTGTGACTGATCGGAACGGTGACTGGCACATGTGACAGAGTGACAGAGTGACTCGGCGTCGACGAGACCTGCGCCCGCGCCGCACACACCCACACAACACACAAACACTTGTAAACACACCTCTGCGAACCATCACTGAGTACAAAATTGCCAAAAATTTAGAGTCAATTTATTTTTCACATTTCAGAATTGTATTTTATCTTTTTTTATTTAAATTCGTGAGCTTGGCTCACTGCTCTGTCGCAATATTATAGCTAACGTGAATCAATGTCATATACCACGCGTTTAGTTCCCGCATTATGCTCACATGTTTGTGTTTAGAACACTTTTAAAATGTGTGCGATATATAAATATATTATTCAATAATATATTATTTTACAATGTTAACTTTACATCCCATGTTTTACTGTATTGACGTATAGATATAAATGTATTACGTTCAGGGGTCGATTTTCACAGACATTTTTAATACTAATTACGAGACCCCATTAGTACTTCGATATCAGTTACATTATAGATATCATGTTATTTTTGTATTTACTGAATTCTCTAGTGACACATTCGAACACAAATTGTGCGAACATTGGGAAAAGGTTTTGTAAAAACTCTCTACGTACTTATTGTTATTGATTTTCACAATAAAAAAACCAAGTTGCTGTAATGGCAAATGTTGTATAGATGTATCTATTTTCTATTTTGTATATAATTATTTTCTTGTATAAATTATTAATTAATCAATTAAGCATCAGATCTGTGCAAGTATCACTGGGCTCACGACCACAGAGACCCGCCAAAAGTTAATAATTATATTATTTATATTTACATCTGTATCCGAGAAATATAGAAGTATCATTTGAGTTAGTTTACACTCTATTCCAAATTTAAATCATAAACGTCAAATGTTTTGTTCTATTTGAGTCAATTCTTTATTTAAATTAGTGTGTTAATTTTGAATTCATATTTGGAATAGAATGTAATAAACAATTTTTAATGTCTAAAACCGGCCGCTAGTATTTCATTCTGATGGATTTCTAAAATCAAGTCTGTCAATATTATTTTTATAAATTTACTCCAAAATGTAGTAATACTATCGTGTAGTTTAAATCAATAAAATCTGCAATATATTGTTAGTATCGATTACGTGTTACTTGTCCTCAAAAGTATTACTACATTTTGTTGTGTTACTAACGGATTATCGATAGATTAGGGAGGAGTATATTCTATCGATGATCGCGGATTATATGGCATCACGGTCTTTGTACAGTGTGCTAGGGTCTGTCTCATGAAAAACTGAGATTAAGTCTCGCCCAAAATTTAAGTTCTTATTTAAATTGTTGAACTATCTACATAGAAATAATTAGTAAGTTAAAGTAAATATGTCTCACTAAGAAGTCATTTGAAAGGAAATTATTGATTGTCTTTATCGATAATATCAGGAAATAAAATCAATATCGAGGTAAATTTGTACATAATGTGGATACCTCTGTTTTACTTATATCAGCTTCTAAGCACCTTATTTTGTAAGCTGTGTTTCGGTTGAAGGATGAGATAAGGCAGTGAAATTACAGGATAAGAGACATGTTATCTTAGTCGTACGGAATGGCTACGCTTATGCGTAATAGTGCTGTTCATATATGACTGACAGTTACCACTTACCAACAGATGGGCTGTAATAATTATTTCTATGTAGATAGCTGGAAATTAAAGACATGAACACATGTAAAGTAAATTGGCCGCCATTGCGAGGTGTAACTAGTAGTGCCCAACCGAGGGTGCACAAATAGTGACAAATCTTTTAATGTTACATTACGGCTATGAGTCCTAGGTGTTATGTCACATCTAGTTTTTTATTTTAATGTCCGTATACATGTCCATCACTGTCATACATATGTACATACCATTATACATATAAATTATATGAATATTATAAACTGAAAAAATAATAAAAAATCTATTATTTTTATATTGAATTCCTTTAGGTATTATACATAATATATTATTTTATTCGCAAATATTTTATGCATTATTAGATGGTAATAAAAAAATTATCAAATTTAGGTTAGTGAATTCTTTATTTATACGTATTTTAAATGAAATCTATTCCAATTGTTTTAGTAGGAAAATATTAGGACAACTATGTCTGAATATGAACGAATAAAAAAATATTTTAAAGACGTGACTATTAAATTTAATGAAAAGTTTGTTATTGATTTAATTGTAACATAATACAATGAGGTATTTTTTCAAGATGTATCTACGTCTCGTTTACATTAAATAATGAATTATTTTAACAAACAACCGACTTTAATTTTAACAATTTAATATGGGACCATCCTCAAAATGAACTTTTTTAATATGATAAAAATCATTAAAATCAGTTCGTCACAGTGAAGTTATTGTAGTTTGAGAAATTAGAGACAAATAACAAGACATTAACAATAATAACATTGAAGTTTATGTAGGTACCTAATTATTAATAATATATTTATGTTAGAAGGGATGTGGCCAATGCAGTGAATACATTTAAACTTACACCTGTCTCCTAATAATAATAATAAGTGAGGAGAATCAGACAAACTATGAAAAGCAAACAGCCCACCTGATTGTAAGTAACCATTTGTAAATAACAAGAGAAACATCACATCATAAGAAATAATGAGTTAACGCCTCTCGCGCGTACTTCTCTACAATTACAATATTATGCTTTAATAATTTCGATGGTTGTTTTTCTATCATATCGATAATAAATAATCACGCATGTGGTCGTCACAACACTATCATGCTGTCACGTAAGGAACAAATAGTGTTCGTTTTTCAAATTATTAGGCATTATAACGTGCCAGAATTGCTCACTACGCATATAAAAGCATGACGTAAGCATGCTTACATGTTTGCTATTGGGCATGCGTCGCCGCCATCTTTTTTCTCGTGTGTATGACAGTGGGCGTGGACTCCGCGAATCATTCACTATTAACCATCATATTGTTAAGTATTAATATTGAATATTAATGATCTCACTTCATTGTCACACGTTAATTTTGGTAATATGTCATTTCGCGGTGATACAACTGGAATTCTGGTGGAATTCTACGGTATGTGAAAAATGTGCGAGTGAATAAAATGTTTATTAAATGAAAATATATTTAGAACAATATGCGTAGATATTTAATATTTTCACTTGCACATTTTGAAAATGTTCTTTTTTTAAATTATGTTTTACGCGACTTTTATTATATATTTTAATAGTAAGTAAATTTATGTAATTACCATTGTAAAAAACATGAATAGGTTTTCAAATTAAGTAAATATATAAAGTATACATTGTTCATATATATATATATATTTACATATATATATACTATTGTACCAATGTCTGTTGGTCAAAATCAATGTAATTTATTATTTTATAATGAGGGAATGACATAATTACGCAAATGGCATATATGTGGACATATTGTACCAAAAACTGTATGGAGCATGGAAAAACGAACTGTGCATGCATATTTTGAAGCCATCAGCGAGGGTACGCATACATCTTGTTAATTATTGTAGTATCGTAATCTAAGAACAATAACTAAAGAAATCACAACCTTACCTAGTGACTAACCATAAATTATGTCACAAGAATTTCATTATGTAGTTAGTTCATTCACTAGGCTCTATCAATGTAATTAAATAAAAATTATTCTGAACTCAATGTTTGTTGTAAAAACTAATTTCTCTGTACATAGTATATATAATATATAATGACTGTCTGTTACCAAAATAAAGAGAGAAGATTACTCTCGCCCCCGTCCTTGTGACAACTAGTCACATTTATGAGTGTGACATTATATTATATATTTGACAATTATTTTCTAAATTTAACAAATTAATGGACAAAAGTTTTTGAATAAGTTTTATTTCCATTTAAAATATGTATTAATTAAATGTATATTTTGAAATGTGACATCACGATACACCTTGTCACACTTTGTCAACGTCCCCTTACCTTGTGACGTAATTTATGGTTTACCTTAGGGTGTTATTGAAGATCGTGTACAGATGACAATATTGTCACAGGTTATTGTTGTTAGATGTTAATTAATTGTTGATTAATTTCGTTGATAAGCATGACTGAAGTTCATTATATGTATGTATGTCCATTATTCGAGAGCTACATTCGGTGGGCCGCGCACACGTCACGCGCTTCCTTCCTCATTGGCCCGGCTGAATGTATATATTTCTTTTTAATATATTCATAAATATTATTGTAAATTTGTTTTAGGTATGGATGTTATGATAAGGATAGTTGTAATATCATTTTTTAAGTAATACATTTATTTTAGAAATGACAGTCTGATCTCTTAAAGTAATGCGTGATATGTTAGGCGCGACGCCGTCTCCGTCGGACTCCCTTGTACTCAGCGCCACGCTAATTTTATATACCTACGTCGGCTCGCATTTCCAGAGACAATATCTATTTATTTATAATTAAATTAAGTAGAAATAAATTGAGGCACAGTAATAATTTATGAAAAACTGTTCCTATTACTGATGAACGTAAACATCACAAGTTTTTGTCTGTTAATGTAATAAAAACGATTTACAATTGTTACCAGAATTCGAACACTGGTCAAAAGTATAGGGCTATATATTAGAGCTAGTGTTATTGTTTGCCTAAAAATAATGAAAGATTCCTTAGGTCCTACTATTAAATTTCAAACTTGTCAAAAATACTATATTTTTTAATCCACTGAATGAATTCGTCATAAAATTTTGGCAGAGTGATCATGGGTAAGCACTTTTTGTAAGATAAGCTACACCAGTTGCCCACATTTGTAGGTTATATTTCAGGTTGGACTGCCATATTTGATAATAATTAAAAATTGTCACAACTGTTAATCAACTAATATAATATGCGAGCCGACGCTCAGGAAATTAGCATAGTAAATCGTGCCTCAAGGACGTCACCAAAATTATTGTATCATTCGGAAATTATTTATGTATCACAAATTATTTAATACAGTGCTATGTTGACTG